GGAGCCGGACATCGGCAAAATCTCTATGAGTATGGCTCAAAGGTCTTCCACTCCGCTCCCCTCCGCTCCAGCCCAATAACCAACAGAGTTTGAAAAACAGAAATATGTATAATGAGTGTTAAACTAGATTAAACAACCTGGGCCTTCACTGTGTATAAACCAAATAAAATATAGTACTACATTAAAGTTCGTATCTTAAAAAATGTTTAGTTTATAATATTTAAAAACATTTCTGGCACAAAATATTCTAGAACATTCAATCAATAATAGATTGGTTATTTTTTAAAAAAACTTGCTAAAATCATAATTAAGCCAATAACAAAAAAATATGTTGTAATAAAAATGACATGGATGCATTTTACTGTATATGTGTTAAAGCAAAATTTTTTTTTTGTATTTTTAGTATTTTTCATATGCACAGTATGTGGGCAGGATAAATAAACTTAAAAAAAAATAATCATACAATACTTCATTAATAAAATAGCTTCGTCTTTCGCTGGAAAAGATAGATCAGGTGAAGGTTGAAGTACAATTTACTGTATAGTAATAGATAATAAAAGTATATTGTACTGCTCAATTCGTAAAGTTCAATGTCATTTTTTCGGTTTTTTTTTTCTTTATTATTTAAAATATTGTCAATTTTTATTTTCGAATTTCTACAGACACTTTTTAAAGTTATGATACTTATTAAAAGATATTTAACACAATAGAAGTTATTTAATACATACTATATTACAATTTTTATTAATTGCGCGAGGTTTTAGGAAAACTATTGAAGGACGTGTAACTTATTACTAAAACCTTTAAAATAAAGCTTTTACATCTGTAAAATTGCTATTAGAGTGTGAAAGAATTATCAGATTCTTTTACATGATTTATTTTATTTCGAAGTTAAAAAGAAAGAAATTAAAATATATATCGTTGATTGGCTGCTTAGTTCAACGTTTATATATCTGTTTTGACAAAAATAATATCATGTGTTGAAAAGTTGCTTTCTGATTAGTCAATTATCATATAATAATCCGTGTTTTCCCGATTGCAGAATGCCTATGTCTTCTTCTAATTCAAAATGGTACGTTAATTAAAAATCGTCGCAGCTGAAGCTGGAAATTTAAATACCTTAATATAAAATTTTCAAAATTTTTGAGGTAAATTTTTTTTGGCCTTTTTTTTATAGTTAACTTGGGATTTAGGGTAGTTTTGGTAATAAAAATGTATAAATGGATTTTGGTGGGTTTATATGATTAAATCGAGGTCCCTAATTTTCAGCTTCAGCCGCGACAATAATTGACATAAATTGAGAAATGACATGAACATATATATGCATGTTCTGAAATAGAGCGTACGCAGATATTTATGCAAGTGAGGTAGCAGTTTGTTCAACATAGGTCTTTAAAGGCAATATTGATTTACAATATAATATGATAAATAAGTATTATTTATTCCCGGGACGGTGTGAATAATGAAATATTTCCCCAGAGGCATACAAGGGCGCTTCGCGCCCCGTAAGTTCGCGCTGGGGATATTTCAATTATTTCCCCGGTACGGCGGAATAAATGAGTTATTCAATGATTCATATGACGCCATAACATGGGCTCATGTTACTAATTGTTTTTATCACATTTTCTCTGTCTGCCTCAACTTGCTCCATGACGTTCGTCTAATGCTTGTGTAAGAAAGGAAAAAAAAAAAAAAGAGAATGTTGTGAGAAAATAGGAATGTTGTGAAAAATGAGAATGCTGTAAGAAAATGAGAATGTTTTGAGTAAATGAGAATATTGTAAGAAAATAGGAATGTTATTAGATGCTCAGAGATGTGCTTGCTGACTTGTAGGTGGTCTTGCTTAGCAACTTGCTCCACGACGCTCATATAATGATTAGTATTGTGATGTGCATTGATTTATTTGGAAGAAACTAAAAAAAAAAAATGAAAAATGAAAAAGGAAAAAAAAAAAGAGAAAAAGAAAAAAAAATGAAAATGAGTATGTTGTGAGAAAATGGAAATGTTGTGCAATAATAAGAATGTTATGAGAAAATAAGAATGTTGTGAGAAAATAAGAATGTTGTGAGAAAATAAGAATATTGTAAGAAAATTTTATGAGATGCTCGGGGACGTTGTGCTGACTTGCGGGTGGTCTTGCTCAGCAACAAGCTCCGCGACGCTCATATGATAATTAGTATTATGTGATTTATCTGGAAGAAAACTATAGAAAAAGAAAAAAAATTTAATGTCATGTGCACGTGCCGATTCTCTTTTTTCGCCACGTGATTAGCAGTCCTGTAAAATATAAATTTAAATAATGGGACATGTAAAGTTAGAGCTGCAGCGCGGCACTACTCCCATTGTGTAATTCCATTAATCAATAAATTTGTTAAATTGTGTTAAATTGGTTCGAGCGAGAATAATAATCCCATAACGGCGCGGAACATTAATTAATTTCATATGATTGCAGTCACTAGAGCTATAATCTACAAATGCTAATTGAAAATCGGATAAAATTATGCCGAATGTCCGATTTTAAATCATATGGGCGAAAATCTCCAGTTAAAACACAGTGATTATTAAAAATTAAGTGATATTATAATTATGTACGTACGTACATATAACAAAAATTATAAGTAATTAGGTTACAATCAGGTACGTACGTACGTACATACGTACAAAAAAATTGTAAGTAATCAGGTTACAATCATGCACATATGTACAAAAAATTTTAATCAGGTACGTACCTACTTTTAAATAATTGTCGATTGTTATTTATTACAGTATTTGTAAGAGATCCGCATTAACGGGTTGGGTAACGTGTATATAAATGAGTGTATTCGGAATTTGAACGAGGCTTTATAACCATAATTTTGAGCCCATATAGATTAGAACATAATTACACACTTAAAATCTAATCCCTATCCTGACTCTAGTCCTTAATAATACCATTAGTCATGTCGGCAACGATTCAATTTTTCTAAAAATTATTAAATAGAACAATATTCGATATCTTTGTTTTATTGTTACTTTCATTCATAAGCTATATTATTTATCTTGCAATAAAGTATCCGGATTATGCTCTAGGAGCAACCTGTAGGAAAGACATCCTTGGGCCTAAGGGTGTTCCTATATTTGGAAATTTATTCACACTTATGTTTAAAAAAAATACTTACGTTGAATTCCAACAAGAATTGGCAAATAAATATGGTTCACTTTAGTATTTATCAATTTTTTTTTAAATTAATGTTTAAAAAACATATTAATTTTGATATTTATTATTATTATTTTTTAAATAAAAATAGCACATTTACAATTTTTAAAAATGGGCGAAGTATTGTCTCAAATGATCCACAAACAATAGAACATGTTTTAAAAAGTGAGTATTCTAAATCAAGTGTTAACATGAATAACCTTTTAATATTAATTAAAATTTTATGTTTTAATTAAGCGAAATTTGAGAATTTTAAAAGATTTCCTATTTTTATCGAAACGTCTTATGAATTATTTGGAGATGGAATATTTCTGGTTGATGGTCTGTAGCTTAATAAAATTATTACTTTTATGTAAACAATTTAATATTTATTAATATATGTATACATATATATATAATAAAGTTCTATGTGGAAATTTCAAAGAAAACTAATAAGTCAACAATTTCAAGGAAAAAAATTTAGAAATCTGGCTTATGCAGCTGTAATTCGACAATCTGAAATCGCAATAAATATTTTAAAAAAGCATGCAGATAGTGGAAAACCAATTGATTTACAAGACTTATTTATGAGATTTACTATGGATACTTTTGGAGAGTAAGTTTTCTTTAAATAATAACTCTAATAAATAATAATTATTATTAAATTTCATTGAATTTTTGAATTGATTTTTTTCAAATGATAGTTTGTCATTTGGTGTAGATTTTGGATGTCTAACCCATATTGGTGAAGAATCGAAATTTGTTACTAGTTTGGAATATATTCAAACAGTAATAAATTGGAGAACGTTTCAACCTTTCTGGAAATTAATAGAAAAATATAGTGAAAAAGGTCAACGAATACGTGAAGCTTGTAAATGTATTGATGACTATGTATATAATATGATAAATAGTCATAGATCCAAGCTTGAAGTTGAGAATAAACCAGTTAACAATATGTTAACTTTGCTTATGGATGCTGTCGATGATGATGGTAAAAAATTTAGTGATAAAGAGTTGAGTGATGTTGTAATGAGTCTTATTGTTGCTGGTATGTTTATATTATAAAAAGTAGAGAAAATAATATGAAGTGGATTCTTGTTTTTCGTTATCTAAACTTTTATTTATTATCACCTAGGTCGCGATACTACTTCACTGGTAAGTTGTAATAGCTAGTTTAAAAAAAAGTAATCCTTATACTAATCTTATGAATTAAATAGTCTCTAACTTGGATGATGTACACAATCATAACAAACCAATCTATTGAAGACTCATTGCTTCAAGAAATTAATTCATTTCTCTCTTCAGAAAGGTCTATTCCATTATGTGATGATATTAATTTATTTAAATATACAACAGCTACATTTTATGAAACCATTCGATTATACCCTGTTGTTCCAGTAAATGGAAAGGTAATTATAATTAATTTAAATATTATAATGTTTTTATAGAAATTATTGTTTATTTTAGTGTCTTTACTTTTTTGCAATTATGAACAAAGGTCTGTATTAAGGATACTGTTCTACCTAATAATATTCCAATTTTTGCTGGAGAACTTGTGGAATATAATCTCTATATAATGGGTAGAGATGAAAAAATATGGGGAAAAGACGCAAAACAATTTAATCCTAAAAGATTTTTAAATTCAGAGGATGGTTTAAGACCAAATAGATTCAAGTTTGCTTCTTTTAATGCAGGGCCTAGAAGTTGGTTAGTATAACTTAGAACAGTATTGTACATGATTTTATTATTTTATATATAGTAACTTTTTAATAATTATAGTGTGGGAGAACAATTTGCAACTTTGGAAGCAGTGATACTTATAATGATGCTATTGAAAGAATTTAAATTTGAATTAGCAACTGGGCAAAAATCACCACCGGAGTATAAAGATTCTATGTTTTTAGAGATGAAGGATCCTTTTATGGCTAAAGTATCTTATAGAACTAAAAAAAATTCATAAATTCAACCAACATCCTATAAAGCGAGCCTTTAAACAATGAATTTTGGATATAATGAATTAAAAAATTTAAATTTTAGGTCATTCTGCTTATATTTTCGATTTTCATAACACACTGACGCGCTGACAGGATTTTTTTTTTAAAAAAGTTTATTTGTATACATAAAAAATTTTTTTAATAATGCTTAAAAATTTATACGATCTGTTTCGGATTTTAATTTTTTTTTTTAACCAAAATTTTTAATAAAAACTTTTATTGAAAAATATTATTGACATAAACAACCCGAATACCAAGCAAAAACATTACATTTTTTAATAATATGTGAACTGATTCGGTATTTTTTACTAGGCATAATTTATCGTTTCACAAAAGTGAATACATATATAATCTAAAATAAGGTAGCTGCGCGACGCTGTCAGCAAAGCCAGGAACGTAGATTTATGAATAGGTAGTGACTTTTTATATAGTACAGCAGCTTTTTTCGACTGATCAAATAATTGATTAGCAATAACGGATTAAATTTATAAAATGCTAGAGCCATAATTAAGAATAAAAATTTTGATATCGTAATAATTCTCGAAATAATTCTCGAAATAACGCCCAGTAGTGAAATTATGAAATTTGGCATAAATTAAGATTAATTTGAGCCAAATTCAAAATAACGTCTATGCCCGCTATTATAAGAACTTACATTAATTTTAAATAGAATATTTAGCTTTATATTTGTTATACATGTGAAATTGTTAGATCTGCATTTACGGTTGTTTTTATAAATTCCGAGACATTTGAAAAATGACCAAAAGTTTAAGTTTTTGACATCAGCTAACGTCAGTAACTTATTGATTTTGACTTGATAGCTTATTGATGAGTCGGTTAATTTATTCCTTCGGCATGATATATTCAAACGTACGTATAGTGTTCCGCACGGACCGGATCGGACGGATATTTCTAAGGATTTGGATTCGATCGAAAAACCGAATCGGATCCAAGCTTGGATCCGGATCCGTTTCAATTGCGGATTCTTTCGGATAGCCTTACTTTTATGTTCGGAATGTTTCGTAACATTAAAGTTTATAGTTACCCGAACGGATCCCAATGTGGATCCGTGCCTGAAGAATCTGAAAATTATGGATCCGGATCGGATCCGAATCTTCGGATCCATTTTGCGGAACGTATGTACGCACGTACCAATTTTTATTGAACTTATAATACTAATACCGAAATAATAAATTAACCGGATCGGCCGAAAATCGTTCGGCTAAATTTTTACAAGTTCCCAGGAATTATGAAAACAGCTGTAAAATTACAAATTATGCGTACGTACGTACAGTAGGCGGCAAAAGTAACGCCCGATGGTTTTTTTATAGTAAAACATATAATTTATAGGATATATAAAAGTCAAAATTTTTTTTATTAAAGAAATTTTTTTTTAATATAATTAGTAAATTCAATATTTATACCTCTATAATATATGAGTTTCGTCAGGCTGAACGAATTGGATTGATTTTTTAAAAAATTATGAAGTTTACAATTCAAAATTTCATATGTAAAACATATAAAATTTGTAAATTTGACTTCGAAATTAAATATAAAATTTTAAAATTATTTTTTAAAAAAATTAACTATAATTATTAATAGCGTTACTATTATATTTTAAGAGCAATGTAAAATAAAAAATTATTTTTATAAAAAAATATAAGTTTTAATATAACATAACATTTACAATTAAATTTTGCAAAATTTACTTAGTAAAAACATAGTAAAAATCCAAAATGTTAAAATTGTTAAAAATCCAAAATTTTAATAAGAAAGAGTTTTTAATTTTATATGATTAAAAATTTGACCTTTATATTTTATGATGCATAATTTTCACGGGTCCAAAAAAAAAACAAGTTTTTTTTTTCTGATGACGAAATTTCCTAAAAAAGATTTTATATGTATTTTACTATAAAATTGATTATCGGGCGTTACTTTTGCAGCCTACTGTATGTATGTACGTATATAACTTTTATATTAATTAATGCAGTGGCACATGATTATTGATCTACATTATAAAAATTTTACCAGCATTATTAGACTTTGTGTGCCAGCTCTATAAAAGTTCTGGACAACAAAACTTACATAACAGAACCTTCCATGACCTGTCATACGTAGTGCCACCACTCCACGATTGGACCTCCTTCCGGGAATTTCTTTTTTCGGTTTCGTACTTGCACTTGGATTTAACCACAGGGTTCCGCATTCAATTATGGCCCCATATTGGGTTATAGAAGCTAAAAATCCTAAGATTTTGCCTCCAGCCCGACTTGAACCGTCGACCTAGTCTGTGGGAGTTTGGCAGCTTAACCGCTAAGCTATAGGGCCCAAACCCGTATGTATAAATTTCTTATAAGGGGTTTTTGCAATATTTATATAACAAGTTCATAGTGTTTATTCCATACCCTATAGCCTGTTATATGATGACGGGCTCTAACACTAGTCTTCTATATTTAAAAAATTAGATTGTTGCACAAGAATCAGGCATTGCATATTCATGTACCATTCGTGCGTGAACGGTACTGATCTGCAAAAAATCTTACCGAAATTCTTGCAAAAACTTACAGCTAGCTGTTTTCATAAATTTTGAAACACCTGATAAAAGTCGCCGAATAATTTTTCGGCCGATCCCGTTAAGAAAGTGATTTCAGCATGTAGATTATGTAATTTGAAATATATATGTTTTCACAGATTAAACACACTACACTAATCATGTTAGGCAAGTATTAAACGCAAATTTAGTAATATTGAACATACTGACATTTCTAATGCATACATATAGGGTGGAAATTTGCATGTTAATTTTTGATATATAAGTTTTGTTATGTAAGTTTTGTTATGTAAGTTTTGTTATGTAAGTTTTGTTATGTAAGTTTTGTTATGTAAGTTT